TCCTAGATGAAAAGACACGAATTGAGCAATATGACTCCCAATCATGGGAATCGCTCAAGAAAAATCCTCTCTATGAAGATTTGGTTGAATTCAAGGATGTATTCCCTGAAACTGTTCCGTGCGAATTACCGAAGAATAAAGGTATTCGACACGAGGTCGAGCTTAAACCAGGCTCGAAATACTGTGTCATGAAGCAGTGGCCACTGCCTCGTGAACAAGTACTTGCGATCGACAAGTTCTTTGCCGATCGTTTATCTGCGGGCCATGTGAGGGAATCAACTTCCCCACATAGCTCTCCGACCTTCTGTGTGCGAAAAGCAACAGGGGGTGGCGGATAGTGCACGCGTTCAACAAATTGAACGCTGCAACGGTACCGGCTCAGACGCCGATACCGAGGAAGGACGTAATCATTGATGGTATGTCAAACACTACCATCTTTTCGTCCATGGTTTTTAATGGATGGCTTCTATCAAATCCTAATGCGGGAACGGGATATACCCTATACCGCAGTTAGCACGCCTAGCGGCATGCTCTGGGAATGGCTAGTAATGCCACAAGGGCTCAGTAATGCCCCTGCCACGTTCAACAGATGTGTATCACATCTGTTGAGACCAGTACGAGAATTCGCGCCGAGTTATTTCGATGCCGTATTCATCCATAGTCGAGCTATGGATGGAAAGTCGGACGTTGAGGTTCACAGGTACCACGTCCGACAAGTTTTTACAATCATGCGAAAGCATCAATTCTATGCCAATCTCAAGAAGTGTATACTTGCAGCAAGCAAAATACCACTTCTTGGGTGCATCGTTGGTAAGAACGGTGTACGTCCTGATCCCGAAAAGATCAAGGCGATCACCGACTGGCCTGTGCCGGTTGATGTCAAAGGTCTTCGAAAATTCCTTGGGCTAGCGGCGTATTTGCATAAGTATTCACGCAATTACGCCGAAATGACTGTGCACCTCTCTCGTTTGTTGAAAAAGAACGAGAAGGTGTTATGGAACGCTGAATGTCAGCGCTCCTTTAATGGTATCAAGCAGAGCTTGATACAATCCCCAGTCCTAGCAATTGCCGATCGGGACAGGCCATTTCATGTGGTCTGTGATGCCAGCGATTTCGCAATCGGCTGTGCATTAATGCAGTACGATCTTGAAGGCGTTGAACGCGTCGTCTGCTATCAGTCGCGTCAGCTGCAACCAGCTGAGCGGAACTATCCAGTGCATGACAAGGAACTCCTTGCCATGAAGTATGCACTCGCGAAGTTCAGAGTCTATCTCTTAGGAGATAGACCCTTCATTGTTTACACTGACCATGCGTTGTTACGCACGGCAGTAAACAGTCCGCACTTTCACAACGAATGGCGCGGTCATTGTCATTCTTTGCAGAATACAACTTTACGGTCGAGTACGAACCAGGACGACTCAATGTCGTCGCTGATGCACTCTCACGTCGGCCCGACTTTGAACCAGTCGTGAAACCCAACAGTGCGACAGCCACTGTTGCGGTTATGATGTCCTCAGTCCCATCTACAACATTGTATGATGATGTGAGGCGGGCATACGCCCAAGATGGTGAGATTGTGAAGTTGTTGACACATCTCTCCCAACCATCCCGAGAATCGTTGAAACGATTGTCGCCTGCGTATCGATCTGCATCAGATCGATACACTACTCGTAACGGTTTACTGTATTGTACAGCCGTTTCTGGTGACACACCACGTGTTGTCATTCCAGATGATACTGATCTGCGTTTGCGGATCATGTTCGAGTATCACGATGCTTCTATAGGAGGACATCGTGGCCGGGAGAAAACATATCTCACGGTAAGTCGAGACTTTTACTGGCCCCGCCAGTATCAGTTTGTGCGAAAGTATGTTCGCGCATGCGAAGTCTGTCAACGAGTGAAGTCAAGTCCTTCACTGCGTGCACCTTTACAGCCTCTACCGGTTCCGGCTGAGTGCTGGGAATCCATCTCAATGGATTTCGTCTTCGGGTTACCCAAAGACGCACGCGGGAATACGGGTATTCTCGTATTTGTTGACAGATTCAGCAAAATGGTACACCTTGTGGCTGTACCAGAGACAATCACGGCAAGTGGCTGTGCTTGTGTCTTTATTGACACCATCTTCCGACTTCATGGGTTGCCCCGTGAACTCGTATCAGACAGAGATCCACGATTCACTGCTGATTTCTGGCGTTCCGTGTTCAAATCACTCGGAACGCGCTTGAAGATGTCAACATCTGATCATCCAGAGTCAGATGGTCAGACGGAACGTGCCAATCGTGTCCTCGAAGAGATACTCAGTCAGAAATCAGATGAGTTCATACTGCTCGTGAAACGGTAGTCCGTTTTGTGCAAGACTCCATCGCCGAAGCGGTGGATAAGCATAAGCAAAACGCTGACAAGAATGGAAGGGCAATCACTCTTTTTTTAGTAAAGGTGACTTAGTCCTACTGTCTACGGTTAATCTACCAAAGCATGTAGTGACTAACTTGGGTAGTAGTAAACTTCTACCCAAGTACATCGGCCCATTTCGTGTATTGCACCGCCTAGGCAATGCATACACGATCGAGTTACCACGTAAGATGCGAACGCATCCCACGTTTTACGTTGGTCGGCTTAAGCCGTACCATCAGTACGCTGCTTCTTCCGATGAAGAACGCCCTTGCTCTCAAGTATCTCGCAGAGAGCCTTGTGCTCCCGATGGTGGGCATCAACAAGGGTCTGAAGAGCAGCTATCTGATCCCGAGACCGATCAACAATCCCACGAGCTACCCTTAGCTCGTCACGAAGAGATGTCAGAGATCTCTCGTTCTCAAGCTGAGCAAAGGCAAACTCAGCTCGATGCTTCAAGACAGTGTCCGCCTGTCCCGCTCATGTTCGAGATCGTTGCGTAACCTTTGCGTTACGCGATCAAAGAAGCTCTCGGGAACACACGGATCCACATGATCGTGTGGAGAGAGTCTTTCCTCCTCCTCCACCTCCATTAGAGGACTCTCGCGGTGGCCAGCGCTATCTAGTTGAGCAGCTGTTGAACCACCGCGACGTGAACGGACGTCGGACGAGTTATCTCGTCCGGTGGCGCGGCTATCCCCCGTCCTGGGATTCTTGGGAGCCCCGCTCCCAACTTATAATCGACGTACTGGGTCTGGTTGAGCAGTACGACGCGGCACATCCTGTGCCGCAGAAGGACCGCCGGAGAAAGTCTTCCCGGCACGGTCGTAAAGGGATTTCAGATTGTCAATCCCTTCGTAAATCTCAGTAGAGACACGTACGCGCCACCACGGGCTGGTAAGGAGGTAAGCCTCCTTAGGTGCTCGTGCAGAGTTGTTCACACAACATGGGCACGAGTCTCCCCAAGAGAGGCAGGGTAATCCTTTCTCCCTTGACAGACGATGCAGCTTGTAGCGTGCACCTGTCGGGGTTCGCTTTTCAAACTTATCACGAACTTTGATAAGTTTGTCGTTCCAAGCGTCACGACCTACATCCTCGAGGTTATGGATGTAGGCGTTCCACGCCTGAAGTAGTGAGGGACCATCACGTTTGTGAATCCCACTGTACCATCGATGTCTAAAGAAAGCATCGATGAAGAATTCATGTTCAGCGCGACAGTTTTTCGCGCTGGGGTCAAGGTGATGGATCCTTGACGAATCGAACAATCGTGTTCGATAACGATCACTCGTCGTCGCCGACAAGTGATCCATGACTGATTTAGGAGGCATCCATGCCTTCTTCTCAGGAGCGAGAAGCAACACATTGCGGTCCCGCTCTTCCTGCGACGTGCCGACAGAAGTAATGGCACCTCGCTGTGAAGTGGTGTCCATAGGAGAACCGACACCACTATTAGCGCCCGAGTCTCGCGACCTCGAGCGCCTTCGCTTTGGCGATGGTTCATCTGATGAATCAGATGAACCAAAGATGATGCGACGCAAAGCATCGTCCATGCCACGCTTGGCAGGCGGCTTAGATTCAATCGCCGTCGATACGGATCCGTCATCCGTATCAGGAGAGTACGAGACACCGAGCTCGTACTCTGTGAAGACACGAGTGTCTTCATGACCAGCGCCTGCATCACCAAGTGACACAGGCTGGGTTGCTTCAGCAACCGATGGGACATCAGTTGCTGTTGTTTCTGCTTCGGCGTCCGCACAGAGACGTGCAGACGCGCTCTCGGCGGCCTTGCTCGCGCATCGCATGGGCTTGTTAACCATGCGATGAGATGTTGGGAAGTGGACTCGGACCAACAAGTGCAAACCCCGTCCCAAATGATTTGGGACGAGTATTCATTTAGTCAATCAGTCACTAAAGTGACTGATGGTTAATGGGGGGGGTGATGTAACGGGGTGAATCGTTACATAACAATTTATAAGAAATTGTTAATAGAATATAACTATAAGAGTTATATTCTCAGAATATTGTCATAAGGACAAATATTCTGTTGCACTTACAAGTAGTTCCTAATTGGTTGATATAGGCCATTATATCAACCAACGAAGACGCGCCACGACAGACGCACGCAAGGAGTGGTGAGCAGATAATTGATTTACACATTTGTATTTAGACATAGTTAGATGAAGATAAATAGTGATTTATTGCAGACATTAACTATACTAAATACAGTTCTACTTTTTACTTTAACCAAGTACTCGCTTCTTCTTACCGTCTTCCTCTGCACGTACGAGTGTACGTGAAGTTACGAGGCACCGCCTTATTCTGTTATCAGAATAAGTAGCTTGTACTGTCACCAGTACAAGCTTCAGGGTGCCCCGTTACAGTTCTATTCAGTGTGAATGATATTATCCGACTTTTGTCGGTCTTTTTCACATTCATTTTTGGGTATCCGGTCTTGTTTGCGTGAGACGGAGCGGTCTCCGAGGGCTTACACCTTCCCGTCGCGAGGCCAACGATACGCAATTAAAACACTCGTTATTTTCTACTTCAGTTCTTTTGCTCGATTATTTTGCCTTCTGTCCTCTGCACCGGCTCTGCATCAACGCATCCCGATGCGCATCTGGTGGACGAATTGGCAGCCTCGGGAGCGCTCTCTATCTAGCGATAGTGAGTGCCCCACAGACACCCATTTCAGTCACGCCAGCGATGCGTCTTTTTGTGACGCGTCGGCTGATGACGAGACTGGCGTGGAACCAGGCGAAATGCCCCCTCTCCCAAGTGACACGCAACTGGTCACTGGCGAAGAGGCGGGGCAGTCTGATTAAAGACTGTTCCCAGAAAGTTCTTCACCTTTCTTTGGAGAACGGGTGGGAAGAAACTGCCTGGTAACAGTCGCCGTCGGACTAGGGTTGGGGGTACACAGTCGCACCTCCAATAATTCCCTTTTGGGGCCAGAAAATGGGCCCCGCATGCATCTACGCGCGCCATCGCCAGGCGGCGGTGACGCTGAGTCAGGCGCCGCAACTTCGGGCACGGGTTTGGAGACCGCAACAACCAGTGCTCACCAAGCGTCAGCGAACGCCGACGTCTCTGGCATGCGCGAGGCCCCCCGGTCTCCGGTCCCGGTTTTGGGTATCGTCTACGACGGGAAAGAGGCCCGGTGACCCCCCGTTGGTACAAGTGAAGGTACCTTCGGGCCTATACTTAGTGTCAGAATAGGGGCCGCCTTAAAAAATAACATCGCTTAGGACTTTGCGACCACGCCGCTTGGTATAAGTATAGGGGTCGTAATCAAAAACAACAACGCTCAAGACTTTGCGACCACGCCACACCACGCCCCGACCACGTCTCGCTCTGCCTTCGTCTCCGCCGGCCCTGCAGGGGCTTCGAGCTCCGCCGACGCCTGCCTCACGCGCCGGGTGGCTCTACCTGCCGGATGCTCCCGCCGCCCTCCAGGGCTCCCGTGCGTCTGTCTTTTCACCCGGCAGGGCGAACGGCATGCTGCCCGATGGGGTAGCAGGCCAAGACGACCAAGAACTCCGAACGTCGGCTTCGCGGGCGCAAGCATGCGCCCACCGGGTACTGAGACGTGCACCAAGGCCCAAGACACGTTGCGTAGCGCCCCCCCCCAGACGCGGGAGATGCCCGAGACAGTGCCATTGATGTTGCTGGGCCCGGCAGGGCGGCAAGCATGCTGCCCGACCGGGTCCGGCATGGCTACCTACAACGCATCGGCTCTCGGGTGCCCACACGCAGCCCTCTGGTCCAGACGAGATTGAGATGGCTCCCCACGCCCTCCCGCCACCCGTTCACCCCCCGCCGCTGCTGCTAGCCCCGCAAATGTTTCTTCTCGATCCGACAGGGGGGCAAGCATGCTGTCCGACCGGGTCAACGATGGGTCCGCGCTTGCAGCCGCTACAGCTCGCTGACCGACCGGGGCAACGTTGAATTTGCGCTTGCAGCCGCTATAGCCCGCGCCCTAGGCGTTTCCTACAGCCACAGAGACCCCGAGAACAGCAGTAGCAGCGACGGGAAAGCCTCAACGAAGACGCCTTGATGGACAACAACGCTGACGGCTCGGATGATGAAGACCAGCTTGGATAGGTAGCTACGGAGCTGCCTGCCCGAGCTGGATTCACTGCAGTGGCCGCAGCCCACATCATGGGCTGCCACGACACCTCCAGCGAGGCCGTGTCCGCTGCATCAATTTGTTTATGATGTTGTTGATGTCTCACGTACCTGTGACGACCAGCTCGGCTGGCAGACACCCATACTGCCTGACTGAGCCGGTTATGACGCTCCAATGCCTTGCGACGACGAGCTGTCTGCTGGGCCCTGCCCCTAACATGATGACTGCAAAACCGTCAGGGCGGGTAGCATGCTGCCCGCGGGTGATGCACAGGCTCCTTCCACGACCGCTGCCGTCCCTATGGAAGTTGACCAGTGCGCGACGTGGCAGGCAGCAAGCCACACTCCGGGCTCGCCGCTTCTCGTGCTCCGCCTCAGCGGCAAGCTTCGCCGCTTACACGAAGAGGACGGCGACGACGACCCGCGCGAGCAAGCCGAGCAACTGCTCGAAGAATTCGAGGCTGGCCCCAAAATCTCTGCGCTGTGGCCATCCACGGCCAGCGCACTCCCCGCCTCCGTACTCGCCGTGTATGCGCACAGCGTGCAGCGCTTCACGTGCACGCTGTGCGCATATACGGCCTCCAGCTTTGCCTCGCTAAAGCGACAACGGGACTCAAGGCACTGTCACATCGCCTTCCGTGACCTCTTCTCGGGAGGTTGTGGGTGCAGCACACCCTTCGTGACGAGGCTGGCTGCAGCAAACCATGCTCGCGCATGTGCCAGCCCTCACGACACTTCGGCTATGTCTTAATCAGCAGCAGGGGACTTCATACCCACTGCTGGTGCAGTCAATGCAACCGTTCCAGCGGCCAGCGCAGATCCCGTGCTGTCCCGCCAAGACCCCTTGGTGCTTGCTGCCCCCCCCACATGCGAAAACCACTGATGACAGGTCGACAACGTCAAGCTGGATCCCTCCCCTTCTGAGGGAGCTGGTCGCTTCTCGCGTTGCGTCTCGCCTCGGCGACATCCCTGCCCCACATTGGGGACCACCACTGCCTAGCAGCGTGGTGGTATCAAGGATTGCCGACCGTCCCCTCCCGCCAGAGCTAACTGAAGAGGAGGAGACCGAGGCTGGTGACAGCGACGACGAGGACGTCAACGACCCTCAAGACATATGCGGAGATTGCTAGCTGCTGCGCTTCGACGGTGCCTGCCGGGCGAACCCTGGCCCTGGCAACGACGGCGCTGCGCTGTTAAAAGCGCCCGCGGCCCCGTAGTGTGGACGCGCTCCCACTACATGCCGAGCAGCAGCGAAACAAACAACACGGTGGAATACACCGCGCCGCTACTCGGCGCACGGGCTGCCACCGACCACGGTGTCATGCGCCTGCGGTTTGAGGGTGACAGCATGCTTTTCATCCAGCAGGTGCGTGGCATCTTCGCCACGCGTAAGAAGAGTCTCCGGCAACTGCGGGTCGCGGTCAAGGCTAAGCTGGCGAGGGCGGAGTGGGCCACGCTCCATCCCATCGACAGACAGGCAAACGGTCATACCGACCGCCTTACCAACGCCGCCCTTGACCGCCGACGTACCGAGCGGGAGTGTGGGTCGCATACTGTTGTACAGGGATGCACCTCCACCTCCACGACGGCCCGTGCACCCGCAGATGCTCCTCCGCCTGCCACACCGCATGTCGCGGTGGGCACCTATGTCCCCTTCAGCCGCGCCGTTGATGATGACATGGGGTACATCGACGATGGCGAGGTGTATGCAGCGATGAGTGTGGGTTCTGATGCAGTGCCTCAAAGTCGGTCCTGATTACACCTTATCAGGTTGGACGGGGACGAGCACGAGGCTGCTTTCAAGTTGGTGCAGCGGCTGGCTGCGAAGCTAGCTGCCAAGATAACGGACGCTGCTGACTAAGAGGAGGCGGAAGGCTAGGTCAAAGCCCTCCCTTACACTTTGTAGGACCACTAGCAATCGTTTGCGCAAGCCCACAGTTAACCTAAAGTTCGCTCGGCTCGCAAGTTAAGATATGACGGCATTGCTCAGGACCAGGTGCCGCAGTCACTGAATTCTCTTAAACGGCTGAATTTATGCCTTTGTGCTGATGTTCCTGGCCCTACTATTTGTCCTTCTTGCGGTAGTGGTCAAGCTTCTCGACAACGCCGTGGACGTTCAGGTGGGGATGCTGCCAAGCCTAAACGGCGGCGGTCACCTTTGATGACTCGACACTAACGGAATTATCGCTTAGACGAGGCGTTGGATGATCTGCGTGCGGCCGAGTGCGCCACGCCTGGTGATCGCTCCGCTGTTGGGAAGGCACGTTACCGCGTTGGCCAAATTGATTCGACCATCGATAAACAGCGTCTCCGCCAAAATTTTGATGTGAATGAGAAGACTTTTGTAAATAGAAGCCTGGGGACTGCCCGTCCCAGAGTACTGCTGTTTTCGCTGACCCTACACTGGTGCCCACTGTAAAGAGGGGGGGTCGATGATGGCATTTGGCCCATTGTAGGCGAACGCCTACATGATTTCATCACGAAAGTGAACACCTATGAGCATGCTTTTAATGCACTCTCTCCGGTAGGCGAACTATTTTGCGTGGCATTGGAACAATTTCACTCCGCGCCAGGTAATATCGCACACCTGTACTTTAATCCACTGCTCAGTCAGTTTTACGAATTAGCGGGTGCTATTTAGATATGTGGTGGATTTTACTAATGGAAACACCTTATGTGTGTTAACGATTGCGATTTTGCAAAGTGTAAGGGGCCTCACATACAAATGACTGGTTTTGCCACTGCGACATATAAAATCGTACAAAGTGGCATACAATTTTATGTACAGAATAAACGATTAAAGACTCACTGTATCCAATATTGGGTGTTATTGCCCTTCTTCTCGATGACCTCAATGCATCGTCGCGGCATCGAGCGAACAAGCGACACAAGTGTGGCATCCGGAATTGCATTCCAAGCTGCAATTAGCGCAGCCTTTAGCTCAGACACGCGCTCGAACTGTGTTCAATTGGCGTACACTTGCCTACTAACGATAGATCACAATTTCTCGATGGGGTTGAGATCAGGTGACTTTATTGGCCAGCCAAGCACCTGAATACCCTTTTCACTAAAAATATCTCGGCTACGGTGTGAAACATGTATGCTTGCGCTGTCCTGTTAAAAAATAAAATCTGTACCATGGTTCAGATGCGCAAATGGTAGAAGATATTCAAACACTGTTTAAACATAGTCATCCGAATTCTGCCTCCCCGTCAGCACAACAAGTGGAGACTTGCCACGGGCGCTAAAAGCGGCCCAAACCATGAAGGACCCATCTCCAGCTTGACGTCGCTTCGTCTGGCGGACGAACTAGCGCACATCTCTCCAATAGTACTGAAAGCCGTCGGGCCCGTCAAGATTCCATTTTTTCTCGTCCGAGAAAATAATTGAGTCCCAGACGGACCCGGCATCCTCATGCAACAGCATGTCCTTGGCCCAGGATTTGCGCGCACCCATGTCCGCGACCGTGAATGACAACGTTGTCTTCATCTTGGCGTACACAAGATAATCGACATCGGCCAAAATGCGCTGCTCGGTGCGAACGGACACCGTCAGGCTTAGCTCTACCTTGAGCTGGGCGGCGGACAGGTTTCTCTGAGAAGAGGTGCGCAAGAGGAGTCGCAAGTAGCGCTTCGAGAGAAGCGGAGCGGGTCCTCGGCATTTAATCTGTAGGGGAGAGGTAGGGGATACTACTCGACGTATAGTGTCAAGGCTCCTTGAGGTGACAGTCTTGATGGCTCGCAAACTCAGTCCAGCCTCTCGAAGCCCCACTATCCTTTACCGCTTGTGGTCGGTAAGTCTTGGCTTCTTGTTGCCTTTCCGTCGATATGAGCCACTAACATCGTGTCGCCAAATGCTTGTGCTGCTTATATCAACCCAGTCATACAATCAGACTAATACATTATTCATAAAATTTGTATGCCATTTTATACGATTTTATATGTCGCAGTGGCAAAACCAGTCATTTGTATGTGATGGCCCTTAAGCTTTGCAAAATCGCAATCGTTAACACACATAGGGTGTTTCCATTAGTAAAATCCACCACATATCTAAATAGCACCCGCTAATTCGTAAAACTGACTGAGCAGTGGATTAAAGTACAGGTGTGCGATATTACCTGGAGCGGAGTGTATGTGCTGCTTCGCTGGATAGGGCGCTTCTACAGGACGCAATTTGTGCTAAAGAAATCAAAAGCCAAGTGCAGCGGTCCCGTGGCAGCTCCTGCCCAGGACTGGATGGGGCTAAGTACGATAAAAGGTACTGGCTGGTAGGTCATCAAGATACGGAGCCCAACTTCAAGATCAGTTACGCGGAATATGCGATGTTACCTAATTGGCTGTGTTGTTGTTTTTGCTTTATTATGAGGGTAGCCAAGGGTACTGTTACCACTAATGCAACGAGAAGAGGATAAAATGAAAAGTAAATCATTGTTAGCTAGGTCCTTAGTTCGACGTTTCTACTCTAAGCCTATTCATATCGACTCCACGATAAAACTAACTAACGATAAGATGTACCTCATCGTTGTTACACACAATCCCATTGTGTACTCTCTCCCATGTTGTGCATGGTATAGAAACATTTCAATACCATCAACAGTTACGCAAAATCCCGTTGTGTCGTCCTTTCCCATGTGGTGCACCTCTTGTCATTACGATCATCCTATCTGCACATAGCACCAACAGTTGTGGCATCTTGACAGATGGGATCGGGAGAGACGGGAGCCATGTGATGAGATGGCACATGGGACGGAGAGAGACATCCACTATGTGCGACTTGATCTGGTCAACATGTTGTACCGTTGGAAATGCATCTGGTAGTGTTGACGGACGGGAGTAGTTAGCACAATATATACACTTTTACTTCTTACACCTCTTGTACAAGTGTAGCTACGACTACACTCTTAGAGGGTACAACATCTACGAGGCGTTCGCAGCCCAGCTCCTACCCGCTCTCCACGCAGTATTCGGATGTTGCTATAAATTTTAGCGGGTTCCTGGAAGCTGGAAGGTTGGTGTGGTGCGCCTGCTGCGCAAGAAAGGTTATCGGTCTGACCCTTTTAACTGGTGGCTGATCTGCCTGCAGCAGGCCATCTCCAAACTTTACGCTATGGTTTTGGCACGCCGGTTCACGTTATCAATAAAGGCTAAAGGGCGGAATGCTGCTGCGCAGAAGGGCCTTCTTCCCATGAATGGCTGCGGGGAGCACAACTTCCTTCAGCCGTGCTTGTTGACCAAGCTCGGCGCAAGCATCAAGAGCTGCATGCCGTATGCACGACTTCGCTAACGCCTTTGAAAGCATACCACATGACTTGTTTTGGGATGCGCTGGACAGGCAAAGTGTTCACCCTAAGTTTATTGCCTGTTGCCGTGGTCTCTTCTCGGATGGTTCCTTCACCATTTAGAATGCTGTTGATGGGACCACGGCACCGATTGCGCTAAAGGTGGGGTGTACCGAGGCTGCTCGCTTAGCTCTCACCTATTTACAGCTTCAATCGCTTCCTTTGATTCAGGCGCTTTCAAGACTGCAGGACACTGGAGTGACGATGTCAAGCGTTGATTGCCCCGGTGCTGCTGCCTACGCAGACAATCTAGAGACTTTAAGCAGCACCGTTGATTGCATTACGCGTCAACACTCGACGATCCAGGAATTTTTGCGCTGGACTGGCATGCTTGCGAACGCATTAAAAGTCAGCACCATGTCGGTCCAGCGTAACATCCGAGGCTTGCATAAGACCCTGGACGTTGAGCTGCAGCTGGATATTGTTCCAATCCATGCGTTAAGTGCCACCGACTCATACAAGTGCTTAGGGATTGGGGATGGATTCGACCATGTCCGCCGCCATGTGAAGCTTGTTAACGGAGCTGAAGCTTTATGCTATGGCTTTGTTGCAGTCCGGGTTCGCGCCATGGCAAGTAGTGAAGGCTGTATAAGTTTACCTTTAACCACGCATTGAGCATGCCCTCCGGCATTTGAGGCCATTTGCTTAACAGCTGGAGGGCTATTCCTGCCATCTCATTCGTGGTCTTAATTACTTGCTCCACCTACCTACGAACGCCACGACGGCGTTCTTCTATGCGCCGGTTTCGCAAGGTGGTTTGAGTCTGCTGTCCTTGACGGAGCTGCACGGTGCCTTACAAGTAGCGCACGGATGGCAGATGTTTAAAAGCAAAACGGTTGCAGCTTTGCGTACTGCACCACGCCAAGTGGTTGGACCATCGGGATGTCCTACGGCTAGTGAAGTTGGACCTCAAGAACAAGCACTGGGATAGGTGGTCAGCCATGTGGAACCAAGGGAAGACGGCCCGCACGCATGGCGGTTGTGGTATTGGATTTCTCACGAGGCCGCAAGGCCTGTAGGAATCCGACTACCGGCTCGCAGTGACTGCCCGCCAATTAGCCGGATACGCTTAGTGTGCTGAAACGCCGACGTCTCCAAGCGCAAGACACATGCAGGCATTCCGATTGCTTACGATTGTAGAGGTTGGCTCAAATTTTGATCCATTGATCTGGAACGATGGATACTGTTCGTGGTCGCCACGACGACGCGCTCAAGTCCATTAAGCGGGCTCTACTTTTAAGGTCTGGTGGACAGACAGACCGGGTAGAGCTTTGTGTCAATCAAACGGTGCGTGGACTAGCGGGGCCGGGTTCGCGGCCAGCTCTGCACCTGTTCAACCACAGCAGAAAGATAGTTGCTGTGGTGAATTTGGCCGTGGCGGTTGAAGACAAACAGCTGAAGATGCTGGAATTTCTGCTCTTGCGCGTGTGGCTGCACAGAAGCGCATCCACTGTGTCAAGGGACACCTAGAGCGTCAAAGTTGGACAGTTTACCTTTTCACGCTCGTCTATGGTTCGCTTGGTGCAGTCGCCGGTGATAACTTTGCGATTTATACTTGTTGTAAATAGAGCGACTCGGCATGCAAACGGCAACCACAAGAATGTACGTGCAGACAATTAGTAATGCGCGACGTAGCGATTAGTAATGCGCGACATAGCGATTACTAATACGCGACTACACGATTAGTAATGCGCGACATAGCGATTACGATTGTGTTGTTGAAAGAATCCAGTAGGCTTAGACTAGCAAAAGAGATTGCGAACTAAGGACCTAAATATATTCACTTTGCATTTTGCTTTCTACAACCCAAGTGCTTTTTTAACAGGTTATGAGCCCAAGCTCTGCTGACTCTGCCCCCGACGCCGACTTTGCCTTCAACATGGACGCTGCCACCGCCACCAACGCTCGCATCAACAAGTTTGATAGTACGAACTTCCACACTTGGAAGTTCAAAATGCAAATGGTGCTGGAGGAGCGGGACCTTTGGGAAGTGACAAGCGGGAAGATCGAGCTGGAACACCTTGCCACCACGCTGGATCAGTCAACGTTCAAGCGCAAGTCTTGGAAGGCACTAGCGATCATCGGTCTGGCGATGGAGGATTTGCAGCTGCCACTGGTTCGATCGTCAAGTGGCGCGCATGATGCTTGGTCGCGGCTGGAGGGACACTTTGAGAAGAGGAGCCTGGCGAACAAGCTCTTTCTTCGTCGTCGTTTCTTTACGACCAGGATGGAAGAAGGTGATGATGTTCTCCGACACATCAACAAGATCAAGACTCTAGCGGAACAGCTCGACGCTGTGGGTGCTCCGGTTAGCGAGGACGACTTCGTGATCACGCTTCTTGGAAGCTAAACTGAGTCGTTTGCATTTCTCATTACTGCTTTGGAGTCAAGGGCCGACTCGCTGTCGTGGGAACTGGTGACATCCAGGCTGCTACATGAAGACATGAAGCGCAAGGAGCAAGGCAGTGACGGGGTCGCTGCAGGTCAAGCGTATATGACAGGTGAGAAGAAGCGTAGTTGACGACCATTCAAAAGACTGGCGCGTGCAACTACTGCGGTAAGATGGGTCATTGGATCGCGGAATGTACCTCGCGGATCCATGACAACGCGGACCGGCAGCGTCCGCAGCGTGCAAATGTGGCGCACAATTAAGATGAAAACTTGAACGAATTCATGTTTGCAGCTGGATTGGAGAGCAACGACGACGACAGCGTCAAGAATCCAGCATGGCTCATAGACTCTGGTGCGACACAGCACATGTCATTCTCAAAGCGGTTAATGACAAACTACAAGACCATCGATCCAGTTAACGTTCATCTCACAGACGACGGGGTCGTGCAGGCGATTGGGACCGGCAACGTAGTGATGATGATGAAGACACCAAGTGGTGTCAAGAAGGGTGTGCTTACGAATGTGTGGCACATTCCAAAGCTTTCACGCAATCTGTTCTCAGTCGGCCTATTCACCAAGGATGTCGCGACAGTGACGTTTGATACGAGCACCTGTTATGCAAATTTCAAGAATTAGAAGTGAGAGATCGGCGAGCGTGCCGGCAAAGGTCTCTTTAAACTATGCATGAAACCTGTGCAAGTCGAGAGCGCGAGCATCGAAAGTGAATCCAGCAAGCCTCAGATGAGTAAGTCATACTTGTGGCATCTGCGTCTTGGTCACATTGGCCATCGTGGACTCGACGCAATCGTGAAGCAGAATCTCGGTGTCGGCATCGACATTACATCTGTGGGCAAGCGGGAGCTTTGCAACGGATGCGCGCTCGGAAAGCAGACGCGAGTGAGTTCACAGTCAACTACACGTAAACCAGCCAAGGACCTGCTTGACGTCGTGCATTCCGATGTATGTGGACCAATGCAGACTTCGACATTTTCCAGCAAGCGCTATTTAGTGACGTTCATCGACGACAAGTCGCGGTTTTGTACTGTGTACCTAATTCACAGCAGTCTGAAGTGTTAGACAAATCCATGCAGTTCACCAAGTTTGCCGAGACTCAGACCGGTCGTCGCATCAAGATGCTCCGCAGCGATAACGGTGGAGAATATGTGTCCAGCTAGTTCGCCGCGTTCTGTCGCAACAAAGGAATCATACAGCAATTTATGCCGCCGTACACCCCACAACTTAACGGAGTGGCGGAGCCAAAGAACAGGACTCTAGTTGAGAGTGCTAGATGCATGATTGAGCATGCGGGACTAAGCAAGCGCTACCGGGGCGAATCAGTGTCAACGGCAGCGTTCCTACGCAATCGATGTCCAACGCAAGCAATTGGCCATGAAAAGTCCCCGCACGAGGTATGGACGAAGACGAAGCCGTTGTTGAAAAATTTGAAAGTCTTTGGATGTCACGCATACGTGCATGTGCCGAAAGAGAAGAGGTCGAAGCTTGATGCGCGATCGACGTTGTGTCGCTTCTTGGGCTACTCAGACCACGAAAAGGCGTACCGGTTTGAAGAGATATCAAGCAGTCGCATTCTAGTGAGTCGCGACGCCCAATTTATGGAAGACACGTTCGACAGCGGGAAGTACATGCAAAAAAGTGGCATCGACCCTATCGAGTATCATAACACTGATGAAGGCTTCAACGACCGTGACAACGGGGTTGCCAATGAAGACATGGATGCGCATATGCCCGAATCAGCATCGATCCATGAGCGGCCACAATGGCAACAAATGCGGCGTTCAAGTTATCAACCGCAGTATATGCAGCATCAGACAGACGAGTTTCTACCGGGGTCGAAAAGACATGTACGCACACAGTCAGTAGAAGCTTTGTCAGAGCCACCAGTGCAAAAACGCTATGAACGCGGGGCTAGTACAAGTGGTGTGCACACATCGTCAGTGCAAGGTACTGCGTCACCACTCGAAGCCATGTCGGCGCTTCTTGCATCTATTGATGAAGAAGAAGAAGAAGAACATGAAGAATACTGTGCTAAAGTCGTGGATTCAGTGGGAGAAGTGCCGATGACTTTCTCATCGGCTATGGAATCCAGCGACGCAAGAAAGTGGCGAGAAGCGTGCGAATCAGAGTTTTAGTCATTGTGCAAGAACAACACGTGGGAATTCGTGCCGTTACCAAGTGATCGCAAGGCGATCAGCAGCAAGTGTGTGTTCAAGGTGAAGGAGACTATTGATGGACTCATCGAGCGATACAAAGCGCGCCTCGTGGCAAAAGGATTTTTGCAAAAGTACGGTGTGGACTTCGAGGAGACGTTCGCAGCAGTGGCCAAGCTCGCGTCGATCCGGATCATTGTGAGCCTCGCCGCGCAGCACAACCTCGTACTTCACCAGATGGACGTCAAAACGGCGTTTCATAACGGTACGCTTGAAGAAGAGATCTTTATGAAGCAGCCTGACGGATTCGTTGATGCCAATCATCCTCACCATGTGTGCAAGCTCAAGCGTGCGTTGTACGGACTCAAGCAATCCCCTAGTATGTGGAACCAGACTATTGATGAGTTCATGCGAAATATTGGCATCACCAAGTGCGAGATGGATCACTGTGTCTACGCCAAGCGTGATGACAAGATCATGATGTTTGTTGTCATATACGTCGACGACCCTCATCCTTCGCGTGCAACAACATGGACATCCTCGCAGTCACCAAACGTGCATTGAGCGAGCGATTCGAGATGTCCGATCTAGGTGAGCTTAAGTAATGCCTCGGAATAGAAGTCGAGCGCGATGACAAGTCAGGCGATGTATCGATGAAACAGACTAAGTTCTTGCGATCGATTCTGACCAAGTTCGGTAGGCAAGACTCTAAGCCTGTTAAGACACCGCAAGATCCTGGACTGAAGCTGACTAAGCGCATGTGCAAAGATGGATGCAAGCACAACTACACCATGCAAGGAGTGCCATACCGAAGTGCCGTCGGAGCCTTGATGCACCTCATGGTAGGCACGCTTCCAGACCTCGCAGCTTCAGTGGGAGTGCTCAGCCAGTTTGCTGCTGACCCGTGTCCGACACACTGGCAAGCACTCAAGCGCGTGCTACGGTACCTGCAAGCGACTCCTACACTTGGTATTCGTTTTATTGGCGCTGGCAATGGCAAGTTGCTTGGCTATTCCGATGCCGACTGGGCTGGAGATATCGATACTAGACGAAGTACCAGCGGCTACGTATTTGTGCTTCACAACGGCTGCATCAGATGGCGTAGCAAGAAACAGCGCAGTGTGGCACTCTCGTCTACCGAAGCAGAGTACATGGCACTGTCGGAGGCGACCCAACAAGCGACGTGGCTCAAGACGTTCATGCGTGAGCTCGGCGAAGAAGCAGGCGATGACGCTCTCACTATCTATGAAGACAATCAAGGTGCTATTGCGTTGGCCAAGAACCCAGAGTTTCACAAACGCACCAAGCACATCGACAATCGCTACCACTTCGTGCGAGAAAAGGTCAAAAAGAATCAAGTCGTGCTGCAGTACTGTCCGACGCAAGATATGCTCGCTGACATCACGACCAAGGCAATCGCAGCGCCACAGTTTACCATCCTCTGTTCTAAACTCGGCATCACTGTCGGTGTCGCTACCGAGTCGAGTGGGAGTGTTGTAAAAGAAGCGACTCGGCGTGCAAACGGCAACCACAAGAATGCACGTGCAGACAATTAGTAATGCGCGACATAGCGATCACGATTGTGTTGTTGACAGAATCCAGTAGGCTTAGACTAGCAAAAGAGATTGCGAACTAAGGACCTAAATATATTCACTTTGCACTTTGCTTTCTACAACCCAAGTGCTTTTTCAACAATATTGACACCTTGATGTGCTGAAGTGCGATGCTTGATTTTTTAATTTATGGTTTTTTTTTAAAAAAATTAATAAATTATTAAATTATTAACTGACTTTAAGCGGCTGGACAGAAAACTTTCTGCTGTATGCATTAAGTTCAGTCGTCGCATCTGGAACCTGCACTGCAGCCAACACCACGTGAGGCAACAAGGTCAAGGGCAAGATTCACCTCAAGTTTTGGGTCCAGTGCAGGATTAAGGACGCAGACGTTTAAGACAAGATGCAAGGGGCAGTCCAGTGACGGGGACCGGGGAAACCCGTCACATCAAGGTCTCCGCTAAGCGTGTTTTCGGGCCCATTATGGCCGACAGGGCCATACCTAAGTAGGGAACCGCCCTTCAAAAACTCTCCGGTATCTTATGGTCCAGCTCTGAAGGATGCAACCTGTTCCAAACTTACACACCACATAGTTCCAAGATGGCATTTTATACCTTTAGAAATGAAATTAGCGTACGGTGATACACATTCTTATCTGTTTAATCCGCGTGACAACTGGTTTCCGACTTTGTCGGTCTTATTCACATTCATTTTTGGACATCCTGTCGAAGTAGCATGCTACTAAGACGGGGCGTGTAACGGGGTGAATCGTTACATAACAATTTATAAGAAATTGTTAATCGAATATAACTATAAGAGTTATATTCTCAGAATATTGTCATAAGGACAAATATTCTGTAGCACTTACGAGTAGTTCCTAATTGGTTGATATAGGCCATTATATCAACCAACGTAGACGCGCCACGACAGACGCACGCAATGAGTGGTGAGCAGATAGTTGATATGCACATTTGTATCTAGACATAGTTAGATGAGGATAAATAGTGATTTTTCAACAGACATTAACTATGACAAGTACAGTTCTACTTTTTACTTTAACCAAGTACTCGCTTCTTCTTACCGTCTTCCTCTGCACGTACGAGTGTACGTGAAGTTACGAGGCACCGCCTTATTCTGTTATCAGAATAAGTAGCTTGTACTGTTACCAGTACAAGCTTCAGGGTGCCCCGTTACATCTGGTAGCACTTCGTAGTCCGTCCAAGGACCGCGTTCACATCCAACATGAATATGTTGGATGATGAAGATGACCAAAGCTTCCACGCTACGCGTGACGGCTACTCCCATTTGAGCGATGTCGAATGGGATGCGGTTGAACGGATGGGTTCGACCATGGGCATCCATGCTGTTAGCGTCATGCTAGAGGCTCTCAATAGAGATGCCCAACATGCTACTATCGCCAAGTTCATTCAAAATGAACTTGACGCAGAACGCGAGAAAGTAGCCTTGCTTCACCAACAAGGTTCTCAACAAGCGGAGTTGTTGAGAGAACAGGGTGCTCAACAGTTTGAACTGTTGAGACAGCAGCAGGCTGCTGCTGGTGGGTCGATGCACTCGCGTCGACCCGAAACCTTGAAGATTGACATCTCCAAGTATAGGGGGGTCGAAGAAGACTCCCTCTTGAGATGGTTCGTCGAAATTGGATGACGCCATAAGGGCGCGTCGCATCGACGCCGGGGATATGCAAGTTGCATTTGCCCAATCAAATCTGGCAGGACGTGCCAAGACTTGGGCACTGGGGCTCAAGTTGCACGACCCATATGCGTTTGGGTCGTTGGAAGTCTTCAAGTCGCGGCTCAGACAAACGTTTGAACCGCCTAGAGCTGAGTTCAGTGCTCGAACCAAACTCTTGAAGCTCAAACAGGGTAAGCGTGATGTGCACGCTTACGCGCAACATATACGACATCTCACGAGTTGAATAAGTTCCAACCCGGTGGATGAACACACGTTGGTTTCGGTGTTCATGCAGGGTCTTGCGGATGGTCCCGTCAAGACTCACCTGTTCCGACTTGATCTAGATTCACTAGAACAAGCCATTTCCATTGCGGAGCAGGAAGACTTCAGTCTGAGACAGGCTCGCGCCAGCTCGACATCATATCGTCAGTCGAGACGATATGACAGCGAAGGTCCAGAGCCGATGGAACTCTGTTATGTAGGAAGTGAGAAGGCTCGCTCTACAGGCTACAAGAAGTTGCAGAGATGCAACAGATGTCAAAAGACAGGACACTACGCTTACGAGTGTAGTGCCCCTCGTCCAGTGTCTTGCAACACTGGGCGTAGTGACCGTCCACCCATGAGAAAGGGGCAGAGACGCGGGTCCGCTGATGGTGCAAAGACGCAACAACGGGATGGATCGTCAAAAAACGGACAGGATCAGTAGGTGCGGAGCACCCTACTGGTCCAGCAACGTCAAGAGAATTTGTAGGCCTCTTGATGAAGGTTGCTCCCAACACACAAACGTTGTGCGTTACTGCATTAGGTAATGATATCTCACTCATTACCTTGAAACTCGAAGTGGCGAACAAAATGTCCCTTCGAGCTCTAGTCGATTGTGGGGCGTCCAACAATTTTGTGCGACGCCAATCGCTGGAAGATGGTCATTTTAAGTTCAGTGAATGTGACACACCTCCTACGAGGATGACGGTACGTCTTGCGACAGGCGCATCCGTAACCGTCATGAAGCGTACAGTGAAGATCCACTATGCGCTAGAAGATACCCAATATGACGATGACTTTATCGTACTGGATTTGGATGACAAATTTGATGTCATCCTTGGAATACCGTGGCTCAGAAGGTACGAACCACGGGTAAACTAGCAACATCGGACAGTAACGATGCCTGCCGCTTGTTCATCAGATGGCCATCTGATGAACGTTTTGAAGCGTCTACAAGCGTGTGGATGTACTACGAGTGAGTGCGATGGCCTCACTTGTAGTACGGTCGTTAGTACGACTGCACAAAACCTTAGTGTAACAAACGGTTACACTTCGGAGCAAAGTTCCGGCGGCTGTGAGGAAACACAGGCTGCGCCGAAGGTCCACCACTCAAATAAGTCGATCGGACCGGGATAAAGATGGATCTCTAGCGGGGAACATCTAGAAGAGAAACAGTCGATCGCTCAGGTTAATCGAAACGATAATTCTAGATCGACTGGAGAGTCTTTCGTAGAGGATCTTGCTGTGGTTGCGCAACCACAGCTAGATGAAGTTAAGAGAATAAGTCTTAAGATTACAAATACGGCGGAAATAAGTTCCCCAAAACCCGAGGGAATATGTCCCCGGGAAGCCGAAGGAATAGTCCTTCGAGGCCTGAGAGAACAAGTTCGTAGGAAATGACAGAGACATTGAATGTCATAGTCAATAACGGATCAAGTGTAGGCGCTTATACACTTGATCTGATTGCGCCTCCGGAGTTGACTTCGGAGATCACTCAGTTGCCAACGCTCGAACATAAAAGGTTCTTGCGTGATCTGCATAGTGGCAAAGTCAAGCAGATCTGCGTACTCGTCGTTGACGACGAGTCTGTAACCGACATAAGGTCAGCAACAGTGTTCACTGAGAGCGAGAGAGTTCTCAGTAGTTCATCGATGGACGAGAGTGCCCTAGATGAAAAGACACGAATTGAGCGATATGAATCTCAATCGTGGGAATCGCTCAAGGAAAATCCTCTCTATGAAGATTTGGTTGAATTCAAGGATGTATTTCCTGAAACTGTTCCGTGCGAATTACCGAAGGATAAAGGTATTCGACACGAGGTCGAGCTTAAACCAGGCTCGAAATACTGTGTCATGAAGCAGTGGCCACTGCCTCGTGAGCAAGTACTTGCGATCGACAAGCTCTTTGCCGATCGTTTAGCTGCGGGCCATGTGAGGGAATCAACTTCCCCATTTATCTCTCCGACCTTGCGAAAAGCAACAGGAGGGTGGCGGATAGTGCATGCATTTAACAAGTTGGATGCTGCAACGTTACCGGCTCAGACGCCGATACCAAGGAAGGACGTAACCATTGATGGTATGTCAAAGAGTACCAACTTTTCGTCCATGGTTTTTAATGGATGGCCTTCTATTAAATCCTTATGCGAGAACGGGATATACCCTATACCGCAGTTAGCACGCCTAGCGGCATGCTCTGGGAATGGCTAGTAATGCCGCAAGGGCTTAGTAATGCCCCTGCCACGTTCAACAGATGTGTATCACATCTGTTGAGACCAGTACGAGAATTCGCGCCGAGTTATTTCGATGCCGTATTCATCCATAGTCGAGCTATGGATGGAAAGTCGGACGTTGAGGTTCACAGGTACCACGTCCGACAAGTTTTTACAATCATGCGAAAGCATCAATTGTATGCAAACCTCAAGAAGTGTATATTTGCAGCAAGCGAAATACCACTTCTTGGGTGCATCGTTGGTAAGAACGGTGTACGTCCTGATCCCGAAAAGATCAAGGCGATCACCGACTGGCCTGTGCCGGTTGATGTCAAAGGTCTTCGAAAATTCCTTGGGCTAGCGGCGTATTTGCACAATTATTCACGCAATTACGCCGAGATGACTGTGCACCTCTCTCGTTTGTTGAAAAAGAACGAGAGGTGGTTATGGAACGCTGAAGGTCAGCGCTCCTTTGAGGGTATCAAGCAGAGCTTGATACAATCCCCAGTCCTAGCAATAGCCGATCAGGACAGGCCATTTCATGTGGTCTGTGATGCCAGCGATTTCGCAATCGGCTGTGCATTAATGCAGTACGATCTTGAAGGCGTTGAACGCGTCGTCTGCTATCAGTCGCGTCAGCTGCAACCAGCTGAGCGGAACTATCCAGTGCATGACAAGAAACTTCTTGCCATGAAGTATGCACTCGCGAAGTTCAGAGTCTATCTCTTAGGAGATAGACCCTTCATTGTTTACACTGACCATGCGTCATTACGCACGGCAGTGAACAGCCCGCACCTTTCACAACGAATGGCGCGGTGGTTGTCATTCTTTGCGTAATACAACTTTACGGTCGAGTACAAACCAGGACGACTTAATGTCTTCGCTGATGCACTCTCACGTCGTCCCGACTTTGAAACAGTCGCGAAACCCAACAGTGAGACAGTCACTGTTGCGGTTATGACGTCCTCAGTCCCATCTACAACATTGTATGATGATGTGAGGCGGGCATACGCCCAAGATGGTGAGATTGTAAAGTTGTTGACACATCTCTCCCAACCATCCCGAGAATCGCTGAAACGATTGTCGCCTGCGTATCGATCTGCATCAGATCGATACACTACTCGTAACGGTTTACTGTATTATACAGCCGTTACTGGTGATACACCACGTGTTGTCATCCCAGATGATACTGATCTGCGTTTGCGGATCATGTTCGAGTATCAAGACGCTCCTACAGGAAGACATCGTGGCCGAGAGAAAACGTATCTCACGGTGAGTCGAGACTTTTACTGGCCCCGCCAGTATCAGTTTGTGCGAAAGTATGTTCGCGCATGCGAAGTCTGTCAACGAGTGAAGTCAAGTCCTTCACTGCGTGCACCTTTACAGCCTCTACCGGTTCCGGCTGAGTGCTGGGAATCCATCTCAGTGGATTTCGTCTTCGGGTTACCCAAAGACGCACGCGGGAATACGGGTATTCTCGTATTTGTTGACAGATTCAGCAAAATGGTACACCTTGTGGCTGTACCAGAGACAATCACGGCAAGTGGCTGTGCTTGTGTCTTTATTGACACCATCTTCCGACTTCATGGGTTGCCCCGTGAACTCGTATCAGACAGAGATCCACGATTCACTGCTGATTTCTGGCGTTCCGTGTTCAAATCACTCGGAACGCGCTTGAAGATGTCAACATCTGATCATCCAGAGTCAGATGGTCAGACGGAACGTGCCAACCGTGTCCTTGAAGAGATACTTCGAGGATACGTACACTCCTTTAAGAGTTGGAGTGAGTTTTTGCCCATGGCAGAGGTTGCCATCAACAACTCGGTGCATGCGTCCACGACACATACACCGTTTTACGTGAATGGCTTGCGCCATCCACGTGCACCCACCTTACTAGAGTGTAACTCTGGTTTAAGGGGGGAGAGACTCGCGCGATCATAAAACGATTTGGATCACGCTCATCACGCTCTGACAATGAGTTCATTACGTTAGATGCCGATATCGACAACATCGATGTCGAAGAAGATGATGCCAGTGAGAGCGCGGAAGCCCTCACTGAAGAAAAGATTGATGTTGCTGCAGTGTACTCACAGCGCACTGAAGCTGACGAGTCATCAGATGTGTGATGGCTTCTCGTTCACTAGGTAAATTGGAAACTGAATTAATGTAGGTCCTTAGTTTGCTACCCTGTGCTATTCTAAGCCTACCCTTCTGGAAGCTTCTAGAAGCTTCTTCAGTGACGTCATCTAATGACGTCAGCTGATGACGTCAGACTTATCCTTTTTTACTTTTTACGCTGTAATTACTCCTTACTAGGCCGTACGTACCTAGCGGCCTGACATCTCCCTGGACTTGAATTCTCGTTGGCCGTCTCGAAAATCTTGGACTAGTTGCTGCCAATGCGAAACGTGGCGGATGGATCTCTCGCGCTCCCAAGTACTGTCACACTCCGGGAGGCCATGCCATTTGACTAGCCATTCTTTTTGGCGATTGCGCTGACGAC